ATTCCATTGAAAATAGAATCTTTTAAATTTTGTACTCAAATCAATAATCAAAATGTATTTACCTTAAAAGCTTCGTGGTCTTGGGTTTTATTTGACAACTGAATTGTACAAGACACTTGTCTCTTGACTCTCCTCAGCTCAACTTCAAACCAAAATAAATAAGTGAAAAAGCAAAAGTGGAAAGCACAGTAATGGATCAAACACCAAAATTAAATATAATGGAAAATAAACAAATTAAGACCAATTTGAAACTTACATGGGAAACTAACCACTGGAGGCTCGATATCAAGAAGTTGGTCTGTGCTCATTCTTTCTCGAAAATCAAACGTAGTAATATGATATTCTTTTGTCTAATTTTTGAAGGGTATTTTCCAAATAATAAATGGAGAAAGAGAGAAGGATTTAGGGATGAAGAAGCAGTGGCATGGAGTGAATTGAGGTTGCTTGCAAGTATATATAATTATCATAATTAAGAAAGCCATAAAAGATCAATCTATAATAAATTGCCATAAAACAATTCAAAACACGTACAATGACGTGTTTCCATGTTCAAACCTACCAATACAAATTTGAATAAATTATTTTCTGAATAGACAAAACTTTTGTAGTCAAATTCGCAATTTATTCAACTGGGTATGTTGACGAAGAAAAAGGCAACCCTCTGACCGGCTCAATTTCATCAAACAAATTTCTTCTGTATCTAGACTATTTCCACCAAATTTGGACGAGGAATATACTTCTAGTTTTAGAGTTGATCGAGTTGACATTAAATAATTTTTAAAGAAATTGTCTGTCCCAGTATGTGCTGCTTTACTTACATTGAAGAAACTTAATACCACCCCCAAGTGTTCATAATGCAGAGAGGAAGAAGAAAAAGGAGGGCGTCTCTCGTCGATTTTTATATTCCGCAAGTATACAGATCATAACAAGTAACATAGTCGACCAGTGAGTTTGGATAGTTTCCACGACGACTACTATCTAACAATTGGTCAAATTATTCTTAACTTTAGTTTGATCGAAAACAAATAATAAATTTTTTGATTCGTTTCTAAATTATTCTAACTAAACTAAATTAATTTAACGTACACAATTTATCAATATTGGATTTTAAAAGTATGAACGTGAATGCTAAGACTTACAATTTTACCTATGGATCCCCTTTAATTCTCCATTGAAGATTCATTACTATTGTAATGTTCAGTCGAATTTTTCTAAAGTATTTGACTTACCCCTCTCGAGTTTTCATTGAATCTATTTAACTAATTCAATTCTATATCTCTATTTGAAATAATTTTAGTTAAACGAAATATTAGTTCTAAGAAATCATCTAATGACCGCAATAATTAGTGAATATATATATATATATACACAATATACTAAATTATCAGATTTTAATACGTGGTCTAAATCTAAAACACATCTCGCAATTCGTAATAGATTCACAAAATCATTGAATAATTGGCCAAAGAAGTCAAAATATTAAATTCATGAATAAAATCAACATATATACATTTAAAGAACTAGAATTTTGAATAAAAGAAATAAATGGTCACACATAAATTACATTGTTGGCCCTAGCTATGAATTTAGTTACTCATAATAATGTTAGAAAAACAAAAAGTATAGAATTCATAACAAAGTTTTGAAATCATGGTTATGGAAAGAATTGGATCTTAAAAGTCTTCAAACTCTAACTTTTGCTCATTGATCTTGATGANACAAAAAGTATAGAATTCATAATCGAGTTTTGAAATCTTGATCATGAAAATAATTGAATTTTGTACCAAGAATCTTCTTCAACCTCTAAAGTCTTCAAACCCTAGCTTTTGCTCATTGATTTTGATGATTATATATTTTTCTCTCCCTCATATTGTGTGGAACTCCCTCAAAGGTGTTAAAAACTCATATTTATACTCCCAGCACTTTTGTGTCGAATGTAGGGTTCTTATAAGCTTCAAAATTGGTCAAAAATGCTCTCTAGATACACCTAGGCGGCACCTTGGCACCATTGGAGTGGTGTCGCGACTCTGTAATGTGGAATTTGGTAGAGCCTCAGCACCATGATGGTGAAGTAGCGGCTCCACCTTTCGGGTGAAAATTTACACAGCACTTTCTTTAATATTTTTATCATAAATTTCTCTCCCATGATGGTTAAGCAATGGGATGGGCGAGGGGTGGCAAATAGTTTTTTCGGCTTCAGTGGCCTAACTTCAAATGTGCATAATTTTTTATCACAACTTCGAATGGTGATTCGTTGTTTGCACTAAACTCCAAATTCAATTATATTCTAATGGTATATCATCTGAATGGTGTAGATCTTTGTACCAAACGTTATACAATAATTTTCTCACATGT